TGCCGCCGTTAGCGAAGCCGTGTGTGGGCAGGTGCTGGGCACGCAGACTCCGCACCGGCAGCATCTGTCAGAGGAGCAGATGGTGGTGGCAGGGCCGGTGGGGACGCTGCAGCAACAGGGAACACAGCAAGCCATGATGATGGGAATCTGTTGTTGTTTTTTTTTACTGTTTTGTTTGAAAAGAAAGATGAGGCTTCTGAGGTGCGAATGCCTCTCTTTGCTCCAGGGCTCTTATATACCCTTTCCAGTGGGTGTTGGTCCATCCAGAGGCTTCTTTCCTGGTTCTTGTTTATGTTAGTGTACCCATTATTCTCTAATTGCTTTGACATTCAGATGCCTGAAGAAGAGTCTCTATTCTCCTAATTAACTTTTATTTGAGTTCATTGCTAAATCTGAACTGATTACTCTTGATATTTGTCACTGCAACTAAAGCTTTATGAGGTGTCACTAAAAGCTTCTATTATTATAATTCCAGTACTAATCCTACTGCGGAATATTGCATGACAGTAAATCTATAATATGTAGGTCTTCTCCCTAGTGCTCTTTGGTTTTTATCCTCTACCTTTATCTGATGAACTAATGAATAAAAAATAATTTGTTTTAAAGAAATGAACTTAATTTTAGTTATTTTCTTTTAGATTGGAGGCATTTGAAGAACAAAATTACATTAATGTGGAGAAATATGCAATTCAGATATATGGGCAAAATTTTGAAAAGCACTTATTCTAGTTTTTGAATATAAAATACTATATATTCATTTTAGGAATTTGGAAAATAGAGACAACAGCTCATCAATAATATTATCATCAAGGTAAGTTCTATATTGGGCCAGGGGATGACTTGGTGGTTAGGGTGCTGGATTCCCACATGGCCGATTGTGATTTGAGTCCTGGCCTGGCAATTTGAAACTCATGCTGGGTGTGTGTGAGTGCATGCCTAAAACCCTGGAAGAAGAATGGAGGAGAAGGGATTGTGGCATGGCCATGCCTCTTGGGGGATGATTTTTCACTTTTCCTCTCATTGTCTCTCTCTGTCTCATGTACCCTATGGTAGGAACCCTAAAAATAGACAGGTTCTATATTAATATTGTACATATACAATGAAAAAATTTTGCCAAAATGTACATGTGCTCATTGGAGAGATGGAGACAGAGAGGAGGAAAGAGGGAAAGATGTGGAATTGTCATGCATGACCTCATCTCCATTTCTCCCTCTTTTCAGAACTTTGGATATATATGCACATACATCTGGCTTTTTTATGAAGCCTCCAGGTCTGGGACTCAAATTGTGCAGTTGGCCATGAGGGATCCAGCTGCCTTAACCACCATACCATGGGCTGGCTTATGTTTTCATACAGCATATATTTATATCTATATAGCCCTCTAGTGATTTTTCTATATATTTGTTTATAGTTTTATCGTATTACTGGAATTGTATTGTGCTTAGATTCTGTAACTTGTCTTTTCACTTAAACATGTATATTTGCTATCTCATATTCTTGAGTATACTTGGTAATATTACTTTTAATGTTTCCTAGAATACATCTTTTTTTTTTTTTTTTGGAGAGGTTTTTGCTATAGGGCGTGTGCGCTTGCCAGAAAGACAGAGACAGAGAAACAGAAAGCGAGAAATCACCCTCCAGGGGGAATGGCCACGCCACAATCCCTTCTCCTCCATTCTCCTCTTGGGATTTTGGGCATGCACGCACACGCGCCCGGTGTAAGTTTTTAAGCCACCGGGTCTGGGATGTGAAACGCGGTGGACAACATGGGAGTCCAGCAACATAGCCATTACACTAACTGCTGGTCCCCCTAGAATGCATCTTCTAAATATTTTTTGAAGTTACTTAAAATTTTTATAATATTATTATTATTTTAGAATTATTATTATTATTTGGAGAGGTTTTGCTATAGGGCGTGTGTGCTCACCAGACAGACAGAGAAAGAGAGACAGAAAGCGAGAAATCACCCCCCCCAGGGGGGATGGCCACGCCACAATCCCTTCTCCTCCATTCTCCTCTAGGGATCTTAGGCACACACGCACATGCGCCCGGCGTGAGTTTAAGCCACCGGGTCTGGGACTCGAACCGCGGTCGACTACGTGGGAGTCCAGTGACATAGCCATTAAGTTAACTGCTGGCCCCAAATTATTATTATTTTTTATTTAACCTATTTATTTTAATTTGGGCAGAGAGAAACAGAGTGATACTGAGAGAGAGGGAAAGTGAGAAAGCAACATGCCAGGTCTGAGATTCAAACCATGGTCAGCCACGTGGGAGTCCAGCACCCTTAACCACCATACTCACCTGCCAGCCCCATAGTAGCATTATTTTTTAAGTTTATTTACTTATTTCTTCCATGAGTGAAAGAGAGAGAGGGACAGGAAGATCAAAATAGCATCACAACAGGCTCTTGACAGTGCAGTTCATCCTTAGCTTCAGCTAACTTGGATCACGAACATGTGTGTGTGCAACATATGCTAGACACCAGCCTGAAACCTTCCTGTGGGCTGGCCTTCAGAGCATTGTGCTTTACTGCACTGCCTCTATCTGGCCCCCAGAGTTTATTATTATTAAGTGCTTAGTTTATTTTCAACAGGATGATAATTGTGGCAATAGAACAGCTATGTATATACATCTTTATGCATATTTATGATTATTTCAGTGACTGAATAATTATTAAGTAGAAATAATGGGACAAATGTTAAATTCCAATATTTTTAAGGCCTTTGATATTCATTACCATACTGCTTTTCAGAACGATTCTATTTATCTGTATTTTTTTCCTCCTGTTTTTCTGTTCCCATCAGCTATATTAAGAATTTATCTTTTCCTAAACCTTTAATGGATATTTTAATTTTAAAAGTTTGCCAATTTGATGGGTGAAAAATGAAATTTCATTATTGTCATATTTGTATTTATTTCATGAATAATTAAGTTAGAACTTCTTATGTCTATTGGTCATTTATCTTTCCTATAACATTTTTTATCTATTTGTCTATATTTTTATTCATGTTCGAATGCATGTGTACGTGACAGAAGAGAGGGAGAATCTTCTACAGAGCTTGGTCATGCTACTCTTTTCTTCCTTCAGACTTCCAGCCCACCGGGATCCTGGGCATGCATTCACATACCCACCGTGCTTTTAGGCCACCCTGGCATGTGGCTTCCAGCTCTGCAGTTCAGTATTCTACCAACTGTGCTGGGCTGGCTTTGTTTCCATTACTGCTAATTGTGAGCAAGTGGAATTTTCAGCTTATGTCTACACAGACTAAGCAAAAGAATAACCTAAGACTCTACTATTAAAATTTAGTAAAATAGCCACCAAGTTTAAAAGTAATTGTACTTTTTTCAGAATTATTTGATTTTAATTTATTATTATTATTTTATATTTTCTATAAGGTATGTGTGCTCACCAGAGAGAGACATAGAGAGAGAAAGAAAGTCAGAAAGTAAGTCTCCAGGTCTGGGGTTTGAACTATGGTCAACCATGTGGGAGTCCAGCACCTTAACCAATATGCCACCTGCTAGCTTCAAGTAATTTTACTTTTCAAGTTATGGGCCTGAGGTAGATTATCTATTCATATTTGATTTTCTTCTTCTTATCTTTTAATGCATTACATTTTCTCCCCAGCTAAAATAAATGTAGGAAAGAACTAGATTCTAGTTCTACAACAGCACTGAGACTTCAGGCATAGTTCATTGTTTAAGAGGGAGCACAAGGAGCTCCTGGCCAATATAACTTTATACTTCAAACCAATTCTACCTAGCATGGACTCACTCATCCTTTAAGCCAGATTTTTTTTTTTAATATTTTCCCCATTTTCTCCTTTAAGTTAACCTGTACATCAGTGCATGTTGGAGGGTATGTCTGTATGACTTAGGAATGGGGAGGTAGAACAAGAGGAGCACATTAGTAATAAAAACTCCTTACTGGTTCCAGTGTTTCTGGCCACTTCTCCTGTTATGGCAAGTAATTCACTATTTGGAGTCCCTTGTTTCTTCTCTGCAAACTAGGGCTAATACTGCAGTCTTTCACTCAGAAGACTGTTGTGAAGTTTATGTGCGATAAAAAGGGTTCGAGTCCATTGACTACCACAAAGTACTATGCAAAGATGAATTGTTACCATTTTAAAGTAAGTTACAGATCAAATTCAAGACAAGGTAGAGACAAAAGAAACATAATTAAAAAAAAAAAAAAAAGAAAAACAGTTAAAGGTAAGTAAGAGACGAACCTTGTAGGAAATAGCAAAAGATCATGACAACCAACACATCAATCAAGGCTCACATCTAATATTAGAGAATATGGCTGGCACATAAATTAATATGTTAAAAAAATTAAAAGTGTTCTTTATGGCTCTGATTGAGAAAGGATTTGTGATATATACTGGTACCCCCAGACTTCCCCTAGATTTATCTTTGCATGCATATCTGCGAAATTATGTACCCTATTACTTAGGACTGATCAATATTTCACTCATTATTTATTTTATTATTTATTTATTTTTATTACATTCATTCACTGTATATCATTATAGCATACAAAATGAATTTTCCCATCCAGAATACATTGTATATTGAATCAGAGATATTACCATACCTTTTATCTTCAACAGATAATTTTCCATTTTGTGTTTCTTAAATGTTTTGCTTCTGGGACCAGCAAATAGTGTAACGGGTACTTCACTGGACTCCCACATGGCCGACTGTGATTTGAGTCCTGGACCCAGATGCTTGAAACTCATACCAGGCACGTGTGCATACGTGCCCAAAATCCTGAGAGAATGGAGGAGAATGGGTTGTAGCTTGGGCATTCCTACTGGGAGGTCATTTCTCGCTTTTTGTCTCTCTGTCTGTCCGACAAGTGCATGTGCCCTATAGTAAAAATCTCTCTCTAATTAAAAAACGGAGCAAAATCTCGAGAGGAGAATGGAGGAGAAGGGATTGTGGCATGGCCATACCTCTTGGGGGATGATCTAGTTTCTGTCTCTCTGTTTCTCTAGTGAGCACATGCACCCTAAAGCAAGAATCTCTCTTAAAAAAAAAAAAGTTTTGCTTCTTTCTTCTTTCTTTTTTCCCCTTGATTACCTCCCTCTTTTTTTTTTTCCCCCACACTTACATAAATATTTATTTGATGA